TAAGATGGTGTCATTGGTTTGACCTTGGATAGTCATTTGAAGGTCACGTGAATGTCGATTTCAATATTTTATATAGAACCCCCTATTTTTATACATATCTTGTAGCTTATCTCGAGAGCTTTCCAAAACACTATCGTAGATCACGTAGAAACACTTATTACAAATACTTCTGAAAGAAATGACTGACGTATTTTCTGCCGCAAGGCTAAATACAAAGTTTTGAAAAGAACCGTTTTAAGAACTGTATGCACCTTTTTGAGCAACTACGATCCTTTAAGCTTTTAATTCAATAGACCAAGTTCTGCTTATGTCCATGGCCTTATATCGGACCCGATCTCACATCTTAATGTCAGAGATATACAAAATGCGTGTATGCGCGTACCCAGGGACCTGGTTACGATAAAAATAAAACTACTTCTTGTCAGAGCTGCTTCTCGAGATTTTCTCATTACGCAAAAAGATATCTTGTTATTTTTGAGTTTTTCTTCTTCTTACTTTTTCTCCTTCTTTAGTTTTCAATCTTGCATAATTATTCAGATTTGTTCTACAGTGAATTGCAATTTATAATTAGACGTTTCCAATATGGCAGAAAATATTAATGTTCCTGCAAACGAAAAGGTGAGAGGCAAGGGGACTCACCTTAACCAAGCACCCCGAAAGGTGAGAGGCAAGGGGACTCACCTTAATCAAGCACCCCAAAAGGTGAGAGGCAAGGAGACTCACTTTTTTAATCAAGCATCCCAAAAAGTGACAGGCAAGGGGACTCACGTAAATCCAACACCCCACTCTATGTGGCTTCTTAAAGGAAGATTACGTTTACGATTTTACTGTTCACGTGTGTGGAGAATCAACAAGAATAAATAATATGATTTCAATCTCGGATCTCTTTAAGTAACGTTTCTACAAATCTATCTGTAAGAAGCCTCATAACTCGCAAAGTACTTGATGAAAAATGACTTGGTTATAAGTGTTTTGGAAAGCTCTCGAGATAAGCTACAAGATATGTAAAAATAGGGGATTCTATGTAAAATATTGAAATCGACATTCATGTGACCTTCAAATGACTATCCAAGGTCAAACCAATGACACCATCTTATGTCCCCCTTGAAACCATCCAACTTTTATCTGAAACATTTTTCTCAGAAACGCTTAGTTTTACAAAGAAATGCTTGATACGGGCGCGCTGATGCACCATGTATACTTGAAGTATACACTCTAAATACTTCCATTTAGGCTGGAATTGACTAAATATCACTTCCAAGGGTATAAGGAAGTGATTCCAGCCATTTTGGTCCAATTTCGAAGGATGCCGAAAACAGGCCTTAGGGACCCTCCTCCTTTCACTCCAAGACTTCCTAACCAAGAAATTTAGAAAGAGTGGCTCCGCTATTGGAGTCGAGCAATACTGCACTCCACGCAGTTGAAAGCGCCACGATTAAAGTACTTTTTTGGCACACGTGTAATTCGAAATACTGCATTATGAAGAAAGTGGTTCAAGGCTTTGCGATATTCATTTGTGGAAATGAGCAAAATAAATCAACGAAAATGTGAGCCAACACGCAAGAGTCGGTACATAATTCTTTTATAACATATTTACTCTTTATTAAATAAAAATTTTCGTATCTAATGTAATATTCATATTTTCTTTATATTACTTTATATTACGAAGAAAGGAAAGAGAGAGAGAGGGAGAGAGAGAGAGAGAGAGAGAGAGAGAGAGAGAGAGAGAGAGAGAGAGAGAGAGATTAATGATAATTTAATTTAAATTAAATTTCAACGCATACCAATGAATAAATTTTTATTTATGTTATATGTAATGTAATCATTGCATGTAACATGATTCAACGTAATAATTGAGATGCACGAGGAAGGATTGGTTTTGCGGTGAGTAAATTTGCAATGTAGATCATGGAAATCTTGGCACGTGCCCCATCACGTCGTACATATCATCCTTGCAGAAATAAATTTTGGAAAACACTCTTGTGTTGAGTTTCGATTCGGCAAATGTCCGCGAGTTATTTATCAATCAAGCCAAATTAATAAACAAAGAGTACTTAAAGAAAAGTGCGTTGACTAAACCAAACATACGTGTTGACTCACATTGCTCCGAGAGAGATGCTCTTCTCGATGGGCGGTGGGAGGTGGGGGTTGACCCCAACTCGTCGCGGTAAATTTCGAGTTTCACGAGGAGGATGAACGAAGGTCCTTGCTCGCGAGGGTGCGAGAGAAACGGGACGGAGCGGAGGGGAGAGAAAAGAAACGAGAGAAAAATAAGAAAAGAAAGCGGAAACGGAGAGGCAGACGCGTGGGATACCCCCGAGTGACGGTGACGAACTTTGTTTCGGCAGGTGAGCGCGCCGGTGCAGACGCAGAAGAGCAGCCTGAAGGCGACCCTGTCGGTGAACGGGGACGGTCAGTCGGGCGGACAGAGCGTGCCGGCGCGATGCCGGGCGCCGAGCGTCGGCATCGACGTCGACATGGTGTCCGAGTTCGACCCTTCGTCGTCGGACAGCGGCGTGGTGTCGCGGTGCGGAGTGGTGAAGCCGCTGAAGCTGGGCCTCTGCCAGCCGATCTTCGGCCGCAAGCACATAGGTAAGTTGCGGAAGGAACACGGCGACGCGGCGCGACACCACGGCAAGGACGAGTCCGGCGGCGACGCGAAGGCGGCGAAGCCGCGCGATCCCGAAAGGGAGAAGAGACGATTGGCGAGGAAGAAGGAGAAGCGCGCCACGCTCATCTTGGGCTTCATAATGGGCAGTTTCATCGCCTGCTGGCTGCCCTTCTTCGTCCTCTACATCGTCAAGCCGATGTTCCCCGACTTCGAGATACCGCCGCAGGCCTTCGTAATCGCCTTCTGGCTCGGCTACACCAACTCGGCCCTGAATCCCTTCATCTACACGGTCTTTAACAAGGACTTTCGCCGCGCCTTCCGCCGGATACTGTACAAATGAGCGTTGCAGCCTAGCGTCGACCAAGAGGAGGGACGCTAACGGCTAATGTACTACATGCGCGCAGCGGATGAATGAGCGTTACACGTAATTAAACGTACGTATGTCGTGCGCATGCATACACATACATACATACATACATACACATACATGCACACACACACATACACATACATACGTTTCCGTCCTCGGGTGTACACCGCGACACACCGATAGAGCACCTCGAGGACGCACGTCATCTCTCGATCGCGCCATCGCACAGCTGATCCTCAGCTCCGAGGTAGCTCGAAGATGCTCAGCCGCGGTAAGAGGACGGATAATCGAGAAGCACGAGAGGACCCGGGGAGCGAGCGCTGCTGCTGCTGCTGCTGCTGCTGCTGCTGCTGCTGCTGCGTAGAGGGAGAGATGAAACGCGCGGTGACGAATTTTGTCGGTTTCCGAATTTTTCGGGACCCACGCGAGCTAAGAACGACCCGGACGAGGTCACGCGCGGCCTCGTTCATTCCGGAACCCTCGTCACATCCCCCGAGAAGATGGACTTCCTCCTTTCACGAGCGCCGGGTCGACCTCGTGCGTTACAACGCAGCTCCTTTGCGTTCTCTGTCCAGATGTATTCGGCGACGCGACCGGCGAGCGACATCCGCATGTAAAATCGATCGGATCGGACGCGGCAAAAGCGAGAAGAAAGATCCGAAGACGCCCGAGGAGATCCCTTTTTCACAATGACGTCGGGGGAAACGAACAAGCTATAAGAGATTACGATAAGAGAGTTCTCCCCAAGCTCTCCCCCGTCGAAAGGGCTGCGCTTTAGGGGAGGGAGAAAGGGGGAGACGCGTCTCGACCGCGGAATCTGTCGAGTTACGCGCGCGAATCTAACCCTTCGCCGACGATCCGGAGGACTCTCGGAGTCGCCGGCTTTTCTTGCGCGCACGATGACGAAGACGTAGACGACGACGACGACGACGACGACGACGACGACGACAACGACGAAAACGGCGATGCGCACGCGATGGATCGAAAAACTCGCCGACGACGTGCGAGAGCAAAAGGCGGAAACGAGGAAGGAGAGAAAAATGAGAACAACGACCACACGCGCTCCGGCCGGCTGGCCGAAGGGAACACACAATTCGCCACATGCGCGCCAATTCTCGTACGGCTTTTAGCGGGTTATCCTGCGGAACGAGGATCGCTTCTCGCAGACCAAGAGGCAGCATATCGCTTCCTCCTCCATCCGCGCGTATCTTTTCATTACCAACCGGCCGTTCCAACACAACTATCGCCATCACCACCACCTGCTTGTCCTCCTCCTCCTGCTCGTCCTCCTCTTCCAAATCCACTTCTTCCAAATGAGAAAGGACAAGGAACAACGGGGGAGACAGGGATGGAGAGACGCTCGCATACCAGCTGCCCCGGATGGAGGACACCCATTTCCCCGTGCCTAATCTCTTGGTCGCGTTTACGAAAAGACATGACAATCCATAGTTGCATAAGGCAACGCAAGAAGGAAGAGAGGGCGTTCGATTAATGTATTAACGCGCGCGCGCGCGCGCGCACACACACACACACACACACACACACACACACACACATACACACACACACACACACATGCACATGCACGATTTGTGTACGTGTATATGTGTGCATGTGTTTGTTGTACATGTGGCAATGACGACGACGACGAGCAGGCTGCGGCGGAGGAAGACGCAAGGAAGGAAAGATAGAGACAGCCGATCCTGCGATCGATCGGCCGCGCAAACACTGACCAGCGTTTAGGATCGTCTCGGCGGAATCACTGACAAATAAACGAGAGAGAGGGTGCGAGAGAAGATATGTAAGATACGTTTCCTACTATAAAAATTAGAGAGATATATATATATATATATTCGCGTGTCGCGGGCCTCGCAACGGGCCCCTTTAAACGTCCGACGTTCCAATCGTGAATCTTCGATGTTACTTTTAAACGGAGAATTACGCATTTGTAGCATTTAACAATTCTGTCACGTACGTGTAGGGTATTTATGGATTCTCGTATGAACGAATGTGTGAGTGTATTTGTATGTGCATGTGCGCGTGCATGCGTACGTGTATATGTGTGTGTGTGTGTGTGTGTGTGTGTGTATGCATGGGAAGTACGCATGTTCCGTGTGTGAGCCCTCGCGTGCGCGAGGGAAAGGTACAAAAGAATCGCAGAAAAATTTTATTCTCCACAAACAGGTCCTCCTATACATATATACATATATATATATATATATATATATGTATGTATATATGTATATATATCGCAGCCTAACTGTACAGCAATAATTAATTTTCCGTTTGCTGGAAATCCTCGCCGGTGCGTCCGAGCGAGATACAGCGTGAGAGAGAGAGAGAGAGAGAGAGAGAGAGAGAGAGAGAGGGAGGGGGAGAGAGAGAGAGAGAGAGAGAGAGAGAGAGAGAGAGAGAGAGAGAGAGAGAGAGAGAGGGAGAGAGTGAGTCGCGCCGCGAAACGATCAATCGCGCATTGGTGCCCCGCGACCGCGCATCATCCGTGTTTGCTCGTATGCGTGTGTACGTGTGCAGTAAGCGTCTATGTGTGTATGCGTGTGTCGTTGTCAAATGCGCGATGAGCGATCACTTTGCCTCGCAGGGTCCAAAATTGAAAGAAAGAGAGAGAGAGAGAGAGAGAGAGAGAGAGAGAGAGAGAGAGAGAGAGAGAGAGAGAGAGAGAGAGAGAGAGAGAGAGAGAGAGAGGGAAGGAGAAAGAAATGCAGATGAAACCGGGATATAAAGAGGCGCGCGTTTCCGCGGTGCCGCATGAAAATCTCGCCATTCGCCGCGAAAATCGGCGAGCGACCACCTGCGGCGGACCGAGCGCATCCTGTACCTCCACGACTGTGTGACAGTAGTAAAGTCGGAGAAGCGACGCGGCGCGTGCTCGATGATCGAGGGCGACCGGGTCGATTCTCAGACAGCGGAGCACAGGACAGAGATCCGCCAATTAACGAAATATCATTTCCGTGAGACGGAAATTCCGCCAGCACCGCGGCGGAATCGCGGATACACGCTCCTCCGCAGTGCGACTCGCAGTCGGCCAAGCGTAAACGAGCGAGCTTTTCGCGGAAGGAAACGATCGCATGCGAGCGTTCGCGGGGCGGAAAAGGGTACCGCGAGATGGAGGAAAGAACGAGGTTTGGCGGGTGTGCGCGAGCGCTCGCTGCTTCGCGAAGCACCGATATGAACGACGTGTTCTTCCCCCCGTCTCATTCCGGCACCGAGGCAAGCTGTCTGACTTTCCTCCGTCGAGGAAATCTGACAGCAGATAGGAAGATAGGAGAGAAAAAGGAGAGAGAGAGGGTTCCGGGATTTCCCTCTTTCGGAATTCCCAAAGTCGCGGTGTCAGCGAGGCGCTCGCTCGCCCTCCGTCGATTTCGCCTTTCTCCTTCTCAGCGCGAGAAAGGGGAAAGTCGCGAGAGAGCAAAGGGGGAAGGCAGAGAAAGCGGGCGCAGAGTGTGCGTGTGTGCGTGTGTTGTGCGAGCGAGAGGGAGATACAAGCTCCGGTACCATAAATCCTATACGCCCGATACAGCGTGTACATTAGCGGAAATGTACGCGCTCACGCACGTACGTGACGCGCAATACACCACACAACGATAAATCGATAAATCCATTTCGCGCGTCTGGTTCCGTGTTGTTTGAGTGTGCGATCGCGTGTGTGCATTGGACATGTGTGTGTGCGTGTGTGCGTGTGCGCGTGTGCTGGTGTGCGCGCGCTTCGCGTCTCGCTCCCCCGTTTCCTATCTAACTTTCCGAGTTAGACTCCACTCTTAAATGTTCTCAACTATCATTAGCATTAACTTCCCTCGGCGGGATCGCTCATAGCGCGTCCGAAATCTCCGGGCTTTTGTCTGTTCCCCGATGCAGCTCTCTCGCCCGAGCCGCGAGTTTAATTGACAGTTCCGGCGCGACGCGCGCGTCCGTGAGATTTTTCAATTTTACCGTGCGCGGATCCTCTCAGGTTCGTCCTCCGCGCCTAGCGCGAGATCTCGAGGATATTACAGTCCCGGGGCATGTAATAGACTCCGGGGTCTGTTCTATTTTATCCTCATTCTCCATTCCTCCTCTCTCTCTCTCTCTCTCTCTCTCTCTCTCTTTCTCCCTCTTTCTCCCGCCTCGTCGCTCCCGTTTTTCTCTCTATTTCTCATCGCCTTTCTCCTCTTCCTTCTTTTTATTCCCATCTCTCGCCACCCTTCCACCCCCCTCCGCCCTCCGTTCCCCGGCCCCGCGCGATTCGACGGAGCGAAGCGATCGGTGTAATTCGTAGAAATAAAAAGCGCAGGCGATCGAGAGGGGTGACCGGGCACGAGGGAGTCAATATGGAATTCGCTGATAAGACTGTGGCACTCGTTCAACGGATTATTAGCATAGCGGCGGCGGGGTGGAGGAGGGGGAGGGGGAGGGGATATGGGTATGAGGATCGATAGGGGCGCGCCTAGCCTCGCTTTTTACCGAAGGAAAAAGGTGAGAGAAGAGAGGGGCGACGCGTGTTTCTACACACTATATGGCAATCGATTGCACGAACGCGGCGCGGTCGTTGGACCCTCCGCGGTTATTTGCGTCGAACCGTACGGTAAATATGCGGACGGGACACCTTGTGAAGTCGCGTGCAACCCACGGGAATATTTAAACGCGAACGCACAGCTCGTTGTGCTCCGATCACGGCCGATCGACACTTTTCCCATTCCGTCGACGACGGAAGCGCCGGTCCTTCGCCTCACGTTTGTCCGAACGTTATCGCGATAGTCGGAGGGTCGGACGAATAAAAACGACGCGTTGTGCCTCTTGAAGGACGGTGTATCGAGGGTGTACTTCCACGTGTAATGTCGGCTGTTTCCCGGCGAAACAGTTCGCGGGCACTTACAATCGACGTCGTTTAGTTTTCCCAACGTTTGGGGGGGGGGGAGGGGGGGTAGCTTGTGAAATTTGAGAAGCGGAAACGTTGATTCGCTTCTTTAGGAAGCTAGAGAGCAAGTAGATTTTTCGAAAGAAGATACGCGCAAGCTCTCGCGCGCGCGCGCGCGCGCGCACGACTCTTCTCAACGTTTAATTCTCGCGAGACGTATCGCCGCTGAAATTATTCGAGAAACGAGAGATCCTTGGTCC